ACACCTCACACCTCACACACCTCACACACCTCACACCTCACACACCTCACACCTCACACACCTCACACACCTCACACCTCACACCTCACACACCTCACACACCTCACACCTCACACAGCTCACAGCTCACACCTCACACCTCACTGCTCTTTCATTCAACCACCATTTGTCAAATGAGTCACTGTGATTAGGAGCCAGGGAGGGAGGGTTGCTAGAACCTGAGTTCCTTCTCAGGAGCTCCGTGCAGGGATAAGGGAAAGTGAGACATCTCAGTTGGAAGAACAGAGATACAATAAAAAGAAGGTCCAGCGGGCCCTTGAGGGCAGATCCAGAGCGAGGGAAGTACTTCCTGTCAGGACAGTGTGGCAGAAACAGGACAGTTCTGTCCACTGCCGTCTGCAGCCGTCCGAGAGGTTCATGTCTGAGACCTTCAGGTAAAGTGGGGTTCTTTATTTCATTGCAGGAGAGAATTCTGGGAGGGGCCGGTACAAAGGTTCACATTTATTACAGAGATGAGTATGGGCTAACAGAGGTGCTCAGGACAGGATGGGATGCAGTCAGGCATGGGAGCGGCCTTCTCAAGGGAGAATGAAGAGGCTGCAGCGCGGACATAAGCATTATTGTGGTGCTCTGTAGCCACATCTCAGAGGGTTGCTAAGGAGCTTAAATGACATCACAGGGTGGCTCCCGATGCCCTGGGTAGCCTTACAGCTGGAGTAAAATCCTGGACCACAGGGGAGCCTGAGGAAGTTCAGATGTTTTTATGTCAGCGGAGTTTAGTCTTCGCTGCTCTTTAACGTTTTTGTTTGAAACATCTACATAAAAGGAGCATTGTCTCTGTGTTGGCCATCTTCACAGAAAACGCTAACAGGTCTGGAATCCGTGACTCTCAGACTCCAGCCAGGCTCTGGGCTGCGGAGGCTCTCTTTTCTTCCCAAGTCACAGGAATCTCTCCATCCGGCCTCGTTCTCAGAGCAGGAAGGGAAAGGAGAACCCTAAAGGAGCATGAGGAAGCCGACAGGCCACCGAGTGACGTTTGCGGGCTGGCGTCACACTGTCTCGGGTCTTGGCGTCACTGTGGAGTGCCAGGCATGGGTCTGCCGCTGTGGGAGCCCAGCTGGGCAGCGCGCGTTTGTCCTGCTTTGCAGCTTGTTCATTCTCGCTGGAATTACAACTCTCGGGGTCACGGGCCTTAGACTGGTCCTGAGGCCGTGGGTGTCTGTCACAGATCTGGGTAACAGCACAGGTGAAGTGTGCCCCAGGAAGGGTGGAAACTGGTAGTTGTGATTCAGGAAAGGCCACAGCTGCAGCGTAGGTGCCCAGAAGGTGCCCGAGTGGCCGAGTCTAAGTGGAGACTGGTACCCTGCCCAACCACGTTCAGGAAGTGGGGATCTCAACTCGGGGCGCGGAGAAGACCACGTCCGGGAATGGGGCTGGCTCTAAACCAGAGGGCCACGAGGCCACTAATGGACCCTTTCTGGCCTCACGGAGAATGGTCAAGAGATTAGCTCAGAAGCTGCTATGGAGTCCAAGAGAGATCTAGCCAGATAAGTCTGGAAACAAGGGCGCAGCTGGCCCAGGCCTGTCCTCGAGTCGGGAGTGAGGTGCGGAATTCTCATTCGGTTTCTGGTAAAGAGCACCACTGCTTGACACAGTGGGTTTTCTGTTTGTTTGCTTTTTGAGATAGGGTCTCTCTGGCTGTCCTGGAACCCAATATGTAGCCGAGGCTGGTGTTGAACTCAAGAGAGATCCATCTCCGTCTGCCTCCCAAGTGCTGGGATTAAAGGTGGGAGTCCAGAGCCCACAAGTGTCCAGCCTGTGGTCACAGCTCTAAGAACCTAATTTGGAAAACGTCCTTCAGGTTGGACTGAATGGAAGTGGCCTTCGAGACACCCGTAGTAGTGTCCACCTGCCATCCACCAGCCTCCAGCGGGGAGAGGAATTCTCCTCCTTCAGCCAGCACCCAGCCCTCCTGTCGTCCCAGGCCCTTGCCCTCAGCCTTGAGCTCAGGCCGGCCCACTTCTGTGTGGCCCTTGACTCCGGGTCAGGGGGCAACAAAGGACAAACAACACTCACAAAGAACAGCCAAGCCTCTGCAACAGCTACTCTTTATTTGGTGTTTTCCAGATGTGCAAAAGTTTCCAGAAAGCTGGGCCCCACAATGTGTAAAAAAGACTCCCAGTGGGGCAGAGCTGTGCAACCATAAAAAAATAGTAACAGTAAGAGAAATCAGTCCCCCAGGAGGCCTGGCTTGGGCAGAGCAGGTCACTCAGGACCAGGCCACGTGCCGTGTGCTGCGTGTTTTCGGTTCATTTTCTTCTGACTCTTCTGTTTTCCAAGTCCCCCTCTCTAGGGTTGTGGCCACCGGGCAGGCCTGACGGAGTCCTCAGGCATGGCGGTTTGTCAGTGACTTCCCTTACAGATACCCCACTCAGTGCTTGCCCACCGGCTTCAGCCCCGCCGTGACCCCACCCCCGCCCGCGTAACCCCTTCCGCCACAGTCTCAGCCCCCTCTGAGGGGCACTGCTCTGCAGACAAAGGCCCCACCACCCTCGAGTGCACAGTGAGGCGGGGGTTGTGCCGGTCACACCTCAGGCGGGTGTTAGCGGCAGATGCTGTGAGTGCGCGGAGGGCTGTGGCACGTTTGTGTGGGTGAGTTTGGCGGGAGGTGGGGCCTGGGCTGGGGGAGGCACTTCTGGGGTTCAGGGCACATTGACCTTGAAGGGGCTTCCCGGGACGCTTTCGTCACCCCACTTGACGATGAGGATGTAGTCTCCTTTCTCCTTGACGGTGTAGGTGACGTTGTACACCCGGTTTCCCATGTGCTTCACGTATACCTCCTCACAGGGGGTCTTGGGCCCGTGCACACCCACCATCATCATGTTGGTGCCTGCAGAGGGAGGCAGAGAGGGGCGACTCACACGGGGCCACAGTGATCGGCTGCCCCAGCCTCTGCCTCCCCTCCCCCCAGCCTCTGCCTCCTCTCCCCCAGCCTCTGGCCCCCTCCCCCAGCCTCTGCCCCCCCCCAGCCTCTGCCTCCCCTCCCCCCCGCGCCCCGCCCCCCCCTCCCCCCAGCCTCTGCCTCCCCTCCCCCAGCCTCTGGCCCCCCAGCCTCTGCCTCCTCTCCCCCAGCCCCTGGCTCCCCCCACAATCCTCTTTGAGGGGCATGCCTGCTTTGCTGCAGTCCACTGTGAAGGAGTTCTTCTGGCCCACAAAGGCCTGGGACAGGCCGGGGCCCCTCGTCACCACCTTGCTGGCATCTGAGGAGAACTTGGGGATGGAACTGTAGCTGGCCCCGCGGCTGGAGGAGGACTTCGTCACAGTCTCCACCAGAACTGTGGATGTTTCGTGAAGGCTGTGGCCTCCGGACAACCGAGGACCTGAGGGGTAGAGCAGGCGGCCACAGGCCTCGTCAGAGGGACTTCCTGTCCTTTTCTAGGACACGGATACCCTGGGACGGCACCGGGCAGCAGTGCTGGGCGCTAGCCCCTCGTGTCTTCAGAAGAATGCCACCTATTCCAAAGGGCAGCGCCGTGACCAGCTCCGTGACCAGCTCCGACCCCGCCATCCTGGGCCTGAGCCACTCCTGGCCGCACCCTCACCCTGCCGGCTTTCCTCTGCGGACGAGGTGACTCAGAGCAAGAGGATGGCTTTACATCAGGACAAGCTGGGGCACAGCTCAGTGGCAGAGCACTTGCCCAGCATGAAGAAGGCTCTGGGTTCAAACCCCACCATTCTTTCTTTGAGACAGGGTTTCTCTGTGTAGTCCAGGCTGGAACCTGCTCTTAGACCAGGCTGGCCTCGAAGTCAGAGATCCACCTGCCTCTGCCTCCAGAGTGCTGGGATTAAAAGTTTGTGCTACCATCAGCTGGCAAGATTCGTGTTTTTAAAGACTCCAACTCCACAGAATAGCATACCACCTAGCCAGGCCCACCTCCACCACGACACCACGGTAACATGGTACCACGGTACCACGGCCCTGACTGAGGAGGCTGCAGTCAGGTGTGAGTGGCCCCTGCAGCCGGCCAGCGGGGAGCCTCTCCCCCGGGTCCTCACCTGTGACCTTGGCTTTGAAGGGACTGCCCACGATGTGCTGAGGACCGCCATACTTGATGGCAATGAGGTAGTTACCAGGGGCCATGGGAGTGTAAGTGACCACGTGGCCCTCGGGACACTCCCGACAGTCCAGCTGCACCTTGGAGGGGCCATCAATGGTGACTGACAAGGCCCCCGAGCCTGCGTTCTGGGTGTTCACAATGAACTCCGACGACACGCCTGAAGGGCGAGAGGGAGCGAGGCTGGAGGTCAGAAGGCCCAGCAAGGTGTGCCTGGCCGCTCCCCTCCCCCAGCCCGCCCCTGGCCGCAGACACTCACCAGTGGTGCCCCCCTCCAGCCCGGGCCCGTAGGCTGACACCAAGCCTGGGTCCCCGGCTTGGCTCTGCTCCCCCACACGGATCTTGAAGGGGCTCCCGGGGATGTGGGCGCCGTTGAACTTGACATCGATTGAGTGCACCCCGTTCTCGTGGGGGATGAAGCGAATGGTGTGCTTATCTGTGAGGCAGGGGGTTGGCGGTGAGCCCATCTTTCTCATCCTTCCCGGGGAGGCTGGCCTGGCGGGGGACGGCAGGGGCAGGCCCAGCTCACCGCTCTCCAGCTCGGAGACGTAGCACTCCTCCACGGCCCCCGAGGGCGTGTGCACCCGAGCGTCGATCACGCCGCGCGCCCCGTTAAGCTGCACCGCGAAAGACGCCGGCTGGTTCACCTTGAGCCCCGTCTCCTGCAGAGACCACAGCGCACATTCAGAGTCCTGGAAGCTGGGGCTAGCCCGGTCCTCTCTGCGCGCAGTGCTCGCGCCTCTGCAGCCTGGCCCCGGCCGCCGGCTCGGACCTCGGGGAGGGGGTGCTACCAGCCATGCTGGGTACCACATGAGCTGTGACGCACCCCTCTCCCGCCTGAGGAAGCAAGCGGAGGCCACAGCCTGACCCTGCTTGCGGGCCGCAGGCGCGGAAGAGCGAGGGCGTGGCGGGCTGCGGGCAGATTGCCCCAAGAATACTTCTCGAAAGGGGGGAGCGCCCCCTGGGCGCACTGGGGGGAGCACAGAAGGGCCTGGGGGTGGGAGGATGGAAGCCTGGGCAAGAGGGGAGGGGCTCACGGTTGGCCGACAGGGCCACCCTGCGGGGAGAAAAGGATGAGGGGGCAAGGCCCTCTCCTCCCCCTTATAAATCGGCTCCCTGACAGTGTGACGGTTGCCAGTGTGGTTCGCGGAAAGCCTGCCCGGCGTACATCCCGTGTGGCAGAGGAGAGGACGCCTTTAGATGCCACACCAGGACCAAGTACAGCCGTCCCGGAGGCCAGCAGAGGCGAGCCCAGCCCCAAGGCCACGCGTGTCTGCTCAGGAGGCCTCTGCAGACCGGCTCTGTGGGTTTGTTAGTTTGATGAAGTCAGTTACAAAGGACTCAGAAGAGGTTTGGGACAAGCAGTGTCCGCTCTCAGGAAGGACAGGGAGACAGTGCTTGTAAAAGGCACACACAAGGCACGGAGCCAAGGCCAGGCAGTCTCGGGGAGGCAGACAGCTCCCCCGGGGCGGAGCCGCGCTCTAGGGAGCGGACAGGGGGCCGACTGGTCCGCCAGCCTCAAGTCACAGGCCGGCGGGCCTGCTGCTCTAGCCGTCTGCCTAGCCCTCAGCCCCGACCCCGCCAGACCTGGAGGCTGGTGACGGTGAGACGCCGAGCGTCGTCTGAGAGCGAGGCCACCGGCACCACGAAGGGGCTGTCCGGGATGTGTTCGTCGTTGAACTTGATGGAGACCTCGTAGTCCCCTGCGGAAGGAGGCGGGTCAGCACTCCGCAGGGTGGGGCGGACAGGGCCCATTTCCCCAGCCCGGCCCCAGCCCGGGGGCCTCAGCCGGCCAGGGCTCCGCTCTGAGCAGCTGAGGGGATTTGGGGGGCTGCGGAGCGGAGGCCCGAGGCCCGCTGGTCAGCAAGGACGGATGAGGGCGGCTGGGCAGCCCAGTCCCCACCTGAGTGCGAACACCTACCTGGCTCCTGGACAACATAGGAGACACCGCAGGAACCGTCTTTGCGGTCTTCAAACGCAATCTCCGCCTTGCTGGGCCCCTCCACGGCAATAGACAGGCCCCCGGCTCCGGCCTCTCGGGTCCAGATGCTGAACTCGGCTGCAGGGGGGTGGGCATGGCTTCTGGGTGCCCTCATCCTGGCCGCCCCTCACCCCGCTGCCCCAGCCCCCGGCTGCCCCTCACCCCGCTGCCCCAGCCCCCGGCTGCCCCTCACCCCGCTGCCCCAGCCCCCGGCTGCCCCTCACCCCGCTGCCCCAGCCCCCGGCTGCCCCTCACCCCGCTGCCCCAGCCCCCGGCTGCCCCTCACCCCGCTG